AATGGGTTAAGTGGAAGGACTCATAAACCCAATGCCTTAAGATTTTGGGTTGAGATGTGGTGTCAGACTCACTTGGTGTATTTGGAGTAGCTTAGCTCATTGGTGGTGGTCCTTCGCCACGAGCTTTCCTTAGACCCGCCTGACAGTGGTATCAGAGCCGGATTGTGCTCGAGCTAGCCTGGTGATTGGCTAGGAGGCGGGTTGAGCCCTGAGGTACTCAATTGAGGGGGAGCATATCAATGTTGGGTTTCACACTTGAGGGGGAGATTGTTGAGATATTCAAGTGTGATGAGTCCCACATTGGTTGGTAATGGGTTAAGTGAAAAATATATGAGTGGAAGGACCCATAAACTCAATGCCTTAAGGTTTTGGGTTAAGGTGTGGTGTCAGACTCATTTGGTGTATTTGGAGTAGCTTAGCCCATTGGTGGTGGTCTCTCGCCACGGGCTTTCCCTGGACTCGCCTTGACAGAGCATATCAATGTGATGAGTCCCACATTGGTTGATAATGTGTTAAGTTAAAAGTATAGTGGAAGGACCCATAAACTCAATGCCTTAAGGTTTTGGGTTGAGTTGTGGTGTCAGACTCACTTGCTACAGTTAGTGTAGCTTAGCCCATTGGTGGTGTCCCCCGCCACGGGCTTCCCCTGGACCTGCCTGACAATAAATAAATGTGTCAAATGGGACATAAAGAAGCATTGTTTTGGAATTTTTTTACTAGAAGGAGATTTGTCAGTGATAAATCTAGAAAACTTACATGAAATAAAAAAAAGATTCACTTGATTTGGACATCCAAGACAAAAATTATGACTTTCTAAAATTTTGTGTCACATATCATCATAGTGTCAACCTCATTTGTGCCTCGAGTGGTTGCGCCCCATTTTGGTTTCAAATTACTATAATTTCGTATTTATTTATTTAAATTGTAATATTTTAATTTTTTTTCCTTGTAATCTGACTTGTTGGATATTTCAGAGTACATAGCTAACGTAATTTTGATGTAACTTGTATATCAGTACACGTTAATACAAGTCCCTAATGTAACAGACAGATGCAAGAAAACTTTATGGAAAATAAGTGTGAATAAAGTTTAATTGTTTTATTTTTTTATTTTTCATTTATTTTGGTCATGCTGTCGAATGGCAGTGTGCAAACTAGAAATAATGATGGTCGTTTTTATGTGGTAGTGATGACAAAGAATGCATATAAAATAGATAAGGAAGTTACACCTGATAATAATATCTTCAAATTGTTTGTTCACGGGTCTTTCAATTGCATTATTATATTTGTTAAATGAATTTTTAGAAGAGATAATTTTTTATCATTGGATTATGGAAGCAGTTAGAAGTAGGGGGAAAGGCTAACTTCATGATAAAGCTTAATCAACAACCGGTTTTGGACATAGTTCAAGATAAGGAAAGGATATAAACAAAAAAAACACGAGTTGTTCGCTTTTGCATCATCACGTTAGGCTTTATATACCAACATTATGCAAGTTCTATTTAGAAAATGAAATAGTTTTCCCCTTTACAGGCTGGCTGATGACAGATTGAGAGTTTTGGTATGCCTTGAGTATTTAAAGATTCAGGGACATGGGGACATTTGAAAAATTACAATGAGGCATAGCAAAACTTTATGCCATGAGGGACGGTATCTTATCCTATATTATATCCTAACTCAAAATCTTGGAATTAAGTTCATGAATTGTTCTTCAATTAGTTCAGTCCTAATTAATGTGAAGCTTTCCGACTCACACTTGAACTCCTAATATCATACTCTTAAAAGAATTGCATCTTTATCCAACCATATAAATTTTAATATGTAATTTACAATTGCTTCGATGACGTAATTTACTAGTAAATAATACCGCTCGTACAAATTTTGCATCCCTAATTCCGCACTCTTGAAACATATGCATGGTTCAATTTAAGTTTGATAAATGAATATTTAAAGTAGGATACAGAGCTCGTATAGAACCAAATGTATGATATACAATTTTTATGTTACAATAACGCAGAAAAAATTGGTATTTGCATTCCAATAAGATTCAAATCCGTCCATCTTCTTAGGGGTGTTTTGGACGGGCTATACTGGCTCAATGGGTCAATTATTAAGGTCATTTAAGGAATCACTCCCCTTATATTTCGAAAATGAGATTTTTAGACTTTTATTATAAAGTATCTCACTTTTCTACAGCATAACATAGCTAGTGAGTATGCTTGTCTCACACATGGTAAGTCCCATTAGGACAAAAATGATTATGACTCATTTCCTCACTCGTCATTAGATAATTTTCCCCACCTATTTATAACCTTCTTCAGTGCACTTTCGACTCATGATCAATAGAGTTGTTACTCTACAAAATTTACATCAGAGCCATCATGCTCTTAGACATCATCTCCTTTGCTCTCAGCCTTTGCCTGGGATCACTTACGGTGACTCTCCATAGAACCTTTATTTATATCATTGTCTCTCAAATCACTGTTATATTAAGATATTTTATCCCATTTAGAAAACAAACCTAATCTCATCTCCCTAAAAGTGCATGTGATATGCTTTTTCCAACTTTTCTCACGATGACTAAGGGTCTGTTTGGATGAGCTTTTTTTCAGTCAAAAGTTACTTTTTTTAAAAAAAAAATCACTTTTAGTTTAAAGTGGATTTAAATGATGCTTCTAAAAAAAACAGAAGTTATAAAAAAAATCAAAAACTTACTTTTTTCAGAAGTTAAAAATTTTAACTTCTCGAAAAAGCAAAAGTCAAAAGCTAATTTTTTTTTTTCAAAAAATAAATATTTTTAAAAAAATCTAAATAGTCTTAACTTTTATGAAAAGCACTTCTAAAATAAATAAGGCATAAAAGTAACTTTGTTCAAAAGTGAATCCAAACGCATTCTAAGATGGCGTGCAGGTCCAGAATGGAGGATAAGGTGGCCTGCAATAGAACCAATAACACTAGGGTGGACACTCGTTAATGTTAAAAGTTAGATTGTAGACAACAGAAATGCCTATATCCTGATATGATTATTACAGTAAATACAAAACTGTAATTTTTTTTTTTTTGAGACAGACAAGGATCAAAAGAAAGCAGAAAACCACTCTAACTACATATTCTAGGCCACCCCACCCCTATGGTATCACACCATAATCTGTCAAGACACCCTTGCGGTGGAACTTCTGACACCTGACTTCTAAAAACTTTTAAGAATTTAGAGCCTGGTTGGAAATATGGAATTAATGGAATGGTCCATTCCTATTTTTGGTTAGGCAATTAAAATTGGCAAAAACATTTATAAAGAAATTAACATTTTTTAAAAGATTTAAAGTTTATCATCTTGTACGATTTAAAATTTTCCCCTACACACTACATGCTTATATAGGGGGGAGAGATAGAGTCCGTTTGGATGAGCTTTTTTTTTTTTTCAAAAGCTTTTTTTTTAAGAAAAAAAAGCACTTCTCGAAAAAAGTCTGTTTGGATGTCTGCTTTTAAAAAAACAGAAGTCATAAAAAAAAGTCAAAAACCTATTTTTTTCGAAAGCTAAAAATTTTAGCTTTTAAAAAAAGCAGAAGTCAAAAGCCAAATATTTTTAAAAAAATCTAAATAGCTGTAACTTTTATAGTAAGTACTTTTAAAATAAGGAAGTGATAAAAATGACTTTCTTGAAAAGGCAATACAAACAAGCCCATAGTTCTAGATATTGAACCATTCAAAGGATGTGTCCCTTGAGCCTTGCACCTTCATTAATGGAGAGACATTGAACCACTCAAAGGTTATGACCCACTACTAAAAAATGCATTTTTTTTACGGAAAAATTCCGTCAAAAATGGATAAAATTCCGTCGAATTTTCGACGAAAATGAAGTCGTCGAGTATCTCTAGCACCAAAAATGGAGAGTTCCAACCTCTTGAGACTTGAGCCAAGCATTGAAGGAGGAACAACTCCCAACAAATATAAATAAATGTCAGTCCATAATATTCCATAACTATGAATGTCAAATTTATCTTCTTCTTCTTTTTTAACAACTAGGAATCAAACACACGATCTATTACAACCTACTCAAACCTTTTATTACTATACCAAATCTATTGGCTTAATGTCCAATTTATCTAAAGTTTGGTGTGCATAATTCTCAAGATAATATCGCATATATTTTGTATAAAAAAAAGTTATTAAATGGTATAAGCATTCGATATTTACATCGATGATCAAGTGAGACAACATAATCGTGATAACTGATAAGAGCTAAAATTGACCATTTAATATAATAAGGACCGTCAAAATTAATTTTAAGTAAAACCAATCTTGACCATTTTATATATAATTGTATAATTACAATTAAGTGGTCTTATTTCTCTTCACACAGATAACGTCCTAAGAAGATTTTTTAATTCTGTAGATTATAGTTGCTTTTGTTTATTTCCCTTATTTCCAAAAAACAAAAAAAAAAAAATTTAAAATGGACCTAACAAAATTATTAGGTCTAGTTAGGCTGGATCCATTATTTTTTTAAATGTGGCTTATTAAACAGGTCACTCCAAAAATGTTTTTGTCTTAGGGTGTATCTTTACATTGGCCCAACATTGTTAGACTATGCTAGATATTAAAGATAACGTTCGGCTGTGAATTCGAAGGAGTATTATTGTTGATAATGTCCCTTTAAGCCTCTCGCAAGATTGTAACATACTTAGAAAGTAAAATGACCAGATCACAAATTTACAATAAATCAAAACATAAACTATTGGCAGATAACTTCAGATTTTAAATTTAAATTACAATGAAACTTTCACCCATTTCATCGGAGGTAGACATAGCATTATTACACAAAGTAGAAGTGATACTGCATATGCATATATATGATATTTGGAAAGCTTAAAAAGTGTAATAGTAAATCACAGATCCAAGCACATATAATTGCAATTGCAATTGCAATTAAGCTTTTGTGCCGTTCTGTATTTTGGAGTCACATTCAATGACCAATGATATAATCAAAGGCCTCTTATGTTAGATGTTGGAGTCCATGGCCATGATGGTGCTAAGGTTCATGGGGTACATATAGTCAGAAGTTCCGCTAAAGATGTCTCGGACGACAAACCCCAAAGCACGTTGAGTTGGGTGATAAGGGTCCCAAAACGCATAGACATCACGGTTTGGGCACAAGTTTGACAAAGAATTGCATACTCCCACCCCGTTGAAGCGACCTTGACCACAACATGCTACCTTTGATGTAATAAAACCTGTTCACAACAACAATTGAAGGTAAACATTGGTGGCTACATTTAGCTAGAAACATTGGACTATAAGTAAGATCTTATTAAATGAAACACAAATATAAGTAAAATTTCAAAATAAAAAAGAGAGAAAGAAATAGAAAGCAGGGAAATTAAATTAAGTAAATGTTGAAGAGACCAAATTTTTCAGGGTTGGTGATGAAGTTCATGTTCATTTGGAAAGCATTGACTGCAACAAAAACATCAGAGCCCACATTGGTGTTGAGTTGTGTGATGAGCTGGACCAGAAGGGAGTTGAAAGTCAGTGCTGCCTGTTGTAACTCAACAACACACTCTCCGTTTGTGCTTCTTGTAGCCAGCTGAGAAGGAACACAGCCCAGTGGGCCAGCTCCGGTAACAAGCACCCTTCTTGCTCCCAACTCAAACAACCTCTGCATTATCATTCATTGTACCATTTCAACTAAATGAGCCCATATCAATAGGATTGCAGCATATGAAAAACAAAAGAAAGAGAGGATGAACTTTGCATTTTGATAACCTAAAAGAAAGAGGAAAAACAAAAACCTTGCATTTCTAGCTAGTAATCATACATTTTTTTTTTTTTTTTTTTTTTGTGTAATGGAGATTTTTAAAAAATAAAAATAAAAACCTCTATGACCTGAGTTAAGAAGAAACATGGCTTCAATAATTTTATACGGGGAATGATTCGTTAACAAATTTTTTTATAAATTTTTACAAATCACACTATGTATTCTCGGAAATATTAGTGAAACCTAGTGTACTTCCAGAGGAGTACATAGCGTAGTTTGTAAGAGTTTGTAAATATAACTCTTCCCATTTTATATATATCAAATATTAAATTCTTATTTAAGAATGAAAATTTATTTGTAAAGTATCACCTATCACATCTTCTATTAGGCCCGTTTGGATAGTCTTCTAAAAAAGTGTTTTTTATGCTTTGCTTATTTTAGGAGTGTTTTTTTAACAAAAACTAAAGTTATTTAGATTTTTTTTAAATATTTGAATTTTGAAAAAAAATATTTGACTTTTAACTTATGCTTTTTTTAAAAACTAAAATTTTTAGCTTGCAAAAAAAAATAAAGTTTCGGCTTTTTGTTTTTCTGTTTTTTTAAAAAGCAGACATTCAAACTAAAAAAAGCATTTTTTTCTTAAAAAAATCATCCAAACGCGTCATAATATGTGATTGAATAATTGACATATAAAAATATAAGTTAGAAATGAAAAAAAAAAAAAGATTTACCATGAGAATTTTTCGATACTCAGAGATAAGGTAGCGGCAGAACTGGGGGACAGTGAATTGGCGAGACCTTGCAGAGACAGGAGTCACGAAATAGTTGTTAACAAAGTCGTTACCACCTACTGTTATCAGTACCAATGCTCCGTTCACTATTTTCTTTGCCTTTCCTGCTCCTACCTCTGCACTTAACCTTTGTTGATATTGCTGGAACAATGCAAACTGCTGAAACATTCTTATTATCCCCACCTGAAAGTTGAAAATGTGGTACCCCATATTGTTAATTAAACTTTGTTTCAAATGTTAATTAACTAAGTAATATCTATAATGTTATATGAATATACAGATAGAGAGAAAACATAGGTTTACAAATTGGACGCCGGTGTCGTTAAGGATTCCAATCCCCGCGGAAGCGAAATTGGCCCCAATCAAGAGCTTTTGTCCAGTGAGTTGAGGGCTCAAGTATGACAATGTGGGTTCAGACCCAATATGCTGGCCTACAACAATATTCACATTTCACTCACACCCCATATAATAACATGCATGTGTTGTAGCATAGAATAGATCTTTGATGTTAAAATTTAAACTGAATTTGTGATAAAAATTTTGTATTTATATATCTCTTCGAAAACATGTTAAATAGTGTTTATTGACCAACTTGTGTATGTTTCTCATGACAAGGTGGAGTATATCAACGTAACAATGTTTCTCTTGAAAAACCCTTTGCTACTAGGGTCTAGGGTGTGTTTGGTATAGATTTTATTTTGGATTTGATGGGAAAGTGTGGATGAATATTGGTGTATCTATGTTTGGTACAAGCTATTGGAAAAAAGAATACCAGGCACCTTGAAAGGATAGGAAACGTGGTTTGTGTTGATTTTTGGCACAATAACACTGTTCCAAAATACACCGTGAGGCGTGGTATTTTGGATATGGCCGGGAAAGTGAAAAAATGGTGTAATAAAAAATGTTTCACAATAATACTGTTGCAAATTTCTCCGGTAATATTTTGGTCAACCAATTATCTTTTTTTAAACTTTTCTCTTAAACTTATTTTCCTACCATTTTTCAGTAATTGTATTTTTCTGATAAAAAATTTTTGCTTCCTAAAAATCTCGCTTTTGGGTGAGGTAGGAAAATGATCTCTTATAAAAGAGATTTATTTGATGTTTATAAAAGAGAGATAGATATAAAAAACTTCTCTTTACACCATCACGTTGAATTTTAATATCTGAGGATAAAATCTAGTTGTAACACATTCAAGGTGCAAAGAACATGAACAAAAAAAATAAAAATAAAGGTGAAATTACTGATAAGGTCAGGGAGGTTGAAGCCATTGGAGAAGCGACCGGTGGGGCGACGGGTGGGATAGTCGATTCCGTAGGGAGGAGAGTCAGCGCGTGCGGTGGTTGGCAAGTAATTGTTGTTGCCACTGTCAACAAGTGAGTCCCCGAACACAAAGAAAGCACGAACACCTTCTGCTCTCTTTGGAGCAACTGTGTTGATTAGGGTGAGAATGATGAGAATCACTCTCATGCTTGACATCATCGATGAAGAGTTTGATTACTTAGTTTTAATGATGAACGTATGTGTGTACTTGTTTATTTGAGTCGAGATTGCTGTGTGTGTGTGTGCATTCTAGGACTTGGATGTAGTGGTTTATATAATAAGGCTCTCTTATATTTGGAGTGGCATAGAGTATTGTAAAATATTATTTGAACTCGAAATTGAACTGTGTGTGATTTGTCTTCACTTTAATGTCTTATAATATCTTATCTGAAAATATAATATAAAATGATTGAAAATCCATCACTTATTAATTTAAGTTTATAGTTTTATATTATATCATTTCTCTGTAATATTTTCTTTTTATATTTTGTTGTTTTATTTTTAACTGTTGTTATGGGTTACTGTCTCGTTGCCACCCCATAAAGATTTGAATTTATTGTATTGACAAATGAGGAGCTCACTTATTGCTAGTACGTACTCTATAGTAAACTTAGTCAACCAAGTATAAACAGCTAATTTTAATGCATCATGCAGTCGGATTTTTTTTAGTAAACCCTAACTATGTGATCCTTTCATTTAAAAATTGATATTTGAATAATTTTTTTTCCCTCCTCCGTACACATATTACAAAAAATATTCAATTAGTCCCCCGCACTCCGGATTAGTTTCATAGCCGGCTCAAAGAGTCGAAGCTCGTGGGGATACCGGAGGGAACCAACTCGTCTCAAAGAGATAATTAGGGTTGGGTAACTCCAAAAAAAATAAATATATATATTCAATTTTAATTGGCCCAGACCACTGAGTAATTGGTGATGCAAAAGCGCTAAAAATGTTCTCGATGCAGTGTCCATTCTGATATTTATATGTTCTCCTTTTACTATCTTTCCTTTTTTGATTATTATTTGAGAATTCAAGAATATAGAATAAGATACAAGTGTCCAAGGTTGTTGCTGTTGAACCAAGAATTTTATAATTAAAATATCTTCCTCATTTAATGGCTGTATGTTGTTCATTTTTTTTTGTAATAAATGTTGTTCATTTTTATTTGTCATTTAATGCATTGCAGGAAAATTAAGAAAAATATTAAATAATTTTTAATATTAGTTAGCAATGTCCTGAATTCTTATAATAAGGAAATATTTAAAAAATCATATATTTGATAATTTACAAAAAATTTGGTAGACAAAGTAATACGTGCTTAAAAACGAATTTGAAAATTTAAATTAACTAATTCTAAAACCTCACAGTTTTATTTTCAGGATTTGAATTTTAAATTTCTAATTAAGGGAAAGAAACTCCTTGTCATAATCCACTAGGATTAGCCTAGTGGTGTGGGGTGTGTGTTAGGTGGTGTATGTAGTGTAGTGGTGTGTGTTCAATTCTCATGTAATGCAAAAAAAAAAAAACTCCTTGTCATAAATCAATCATTGTTGATAAATATATCAACAGCTAGTCACTATTTTTTTTTTCATTTATTGAAGGACATCAGACTTTTAAAAAAATAATAATTAAGCACATATTACTTTCTTTGCATTAAATTTTCATTTGATTGACCGAATGCTAGGGGCAGCCGTCGGATTCCTTTCTAATATTGACGAATCAATGAAAACAAATACGGTAAATAAACGTTAAGGCCTAAAAAATAAAAATAAAAACATTGACTAAAAATATAGTATTTAATGTATTTAAAATTTAATGTTTTTTATTCTTAAACTATTCTAAAAATACACGCGATTGTTTTTTTTTTTTTTTACATATAGCGATCCTAATTATATTTCCACTTTATGTTGCGAAATAAGCTACACCCGTTAAGTCGATAACGATTGTCTCAATATAAATGCAATTGTTGTTGTTGACCACCGACCCCAACACAATCCGTGCGATCGTCATAACGGAACTGTTTTTATTTATTGGGTCGGTAGAAAAAGCTATATGTGGAGTTGAGCACCCATGTGAATTCCATTAATAACTGAGCCTAATGTACATCATCCCAGCTTTTCTAAATTTAAAAGAAAAAAATCTGAGCCTCTTTCTTTTCATCATCCGAAGCGAGCCTACTTGTTTTGATTGTGCATTATTGCATCGTTAATACATATTAGTAAGGAGTAAATTAGTAACGAGTAAGCAGAAGAATATATTTATCACCAAATTTTTTTTATTATTTTTACAACCAATTTAATTATCATTGATTTTCGTCAATCTAACGGTTATAATTTATTGAAAATTATTGGGTCGCATTTATTAATTAATTATTAATTCCCAATAAATTTAAGAAATTATAACCGTTAGATTGACAGAAATCAACGGTGATTAGGTTGGTTGTAAAAGTGATAAACTTTTTTGGTAATAAGTATATCCTGCCCCTATATATATATATATATATATATATATATATATATATATATATATATATATATATATATATATATAGAGGAAGGATATACTCACAACCTTTTTTTTACAACCTCTTACAACCATATCTTAACACCGTTGATTTTCGCCAATCAACGGTTATCATTTATTATAAATTAATAATTAATTAATGAGTTTAATTTGCAAAAATCATAACCGTTGATTGGCGGAAATCAACGGTGTTAAAATATGGTTGTAAGAGGCTGTAAAATAAAAGATTGTAAATATAACCTACCTTATATATATGTATATATATATAGGGACATGATCTATTTACAAACTTTTTTTGCAATTACACTAATGTAGGACCGGTCGTACACTGTGTGATTAATGTAGGACCGGTCCTACATAGTGTTGTTTGTAAGAGTTTGTAAACAAAAAAGTTTGTAAATATAACTTGCCCTATATATATATATATATATATATATATATATATATATATATAGGGACAAGATATACTTATCACCAAAAAAATTTACCACATTTACAACTAACCTAATCACCGTTGATTTTTCGTCAATCTAATGGTTATAATTTATTGGAAATAAATATTAATTAATAAATGCGATCCAATAATTTCCAATAAATTATAACCATTAGATTGACGGAAATCAATGGTGATTAGGTTAGTTGTAAAGGTTGTAAACTTTTTTTGGTGGTAAGTATATCCTTCCCCACACACACACACACACATACACACACACACATATATATGATCCTTTGATATCAGTGTCAAATTGAAATTTGACACCTCATCTTAGAGTCATTAGATCAAAAAAGATTAATGGTATCACATGCTTACAAATCAGAGCCATTGATCTTTTTTGATCTAATGGTTCTCAGATAAGGTGTCAAATTTGAAATTTGACACTGGTGCCAAAGGATCCTACCTCATATATATATATATATATATATATATATATATATATATATATATATATATGTAGGGCTTATCATTTCTCAAGCTGCTTAAGATAATTTTATCTCCGGCTACTAAATTATAACCATACAAAGATAGATCAAGGATGATAAAGGAAGAGAGAAAAAGATAATCATAATCATTCAAAGGTGAATCAATTAATATAAGAAAATAAATAAACAAAACGATATAGTTTTGGGGTGGCCGGAGATAAACTTATCTCAAGTTGCCGAAGAAATATTTTTCTCATATATATATATATTTATACATATATATGGGCTTATCATTTCTCAAGCTGCCGGAGATAATTTCATCTTCGGCTACTAAATCATAACCATACAAAGATGGATCAATGGTAATAAAGGAAGAGAGAGAAAAAGAGAATCATAACCATTCAAAGGTGAATCAATTAATATAAGAAAATAAATAAATAAAAACAACGTCATTTTGGGGTGGTCGGAGATAAACTTATCTCAAGTTGTCGGAGAAATGTTTTTTCCTATGTATATATATATATATTAGGGCTTATCATTTCCCAAGCTACTTGAGATAACTTTATCTTCGGCTTCTAAATCATAACCGTACAAAGATGGATTAATGGTGATAAAGGAAGAGAGAGAAAAACAGAATCATAACCATTCAAAGGTGAATCAATTAATATAAGGAAATAAATAAACAAAATGACGTAGTTTTGGGGTGGTCGGAGATAAATATATCTCAAGCTGCTTGAGAAATATTTTTCTCTATATATAAGGAGTGTATTGGATTGAGATTTTAAAGTATTACTTTTGAATAAAAAAATCCATTATATTCAATTATGAATTTAAAAATTTGTAAAAAAAATTATGTGGTATTCGATTAGGATTTTAAAATATTATTTTAGAGTCCGTCCAAATCCGGTGGTATTCAATCAGGATTTTAAACAAAGAAAAAATAATGTTGTAGTACTAAAAAATCTAACGATTTTAATGGATTTTCTATTAATATGAATTTTGTGAGACTTTTTAGAGAGAAAAATAAATGACATGTCTCTTTCACAATCTCACCCTAATCCTGGGATTTATTGAGATTTTTATATTGCAGTGTCTCATAATCTACCCTAACATTTTTCTCAAATTCAAGTTATGTTCTTTTTTTACTCTCATATATTTTCTCTGGTTTTGACATTCCTCTTTATGCTATTCTTCTTTGTGATTAATTAATGATTTATGGTTGTGATTGTCGTCTCTAATGACGTGTTCCATTTTATTTTTTTTGATATATTTCTCTTAACGCTGGTAATACGTTGACGATAAACATATTTAATAAACACTATATTTCTGATAAATTTTTCTCAAGACTTTTTATGCACCATATTAGGCACACAACAAGACACAAAATTTCAATATTCATTTGTTGAAAAACAAGGAAAAAATCATTGTTACTATTGCATAACTTGCTTTCGTCAATGAGTTATATGTTTTTTAAATAATAAATATTTTTTTTAGTTTTCATACTAATTTTATATGTATTGTAATATAATTAGGTAAATATTTCCTTGTGGATTGTGGACTTCCCAATCGACGCCAATTTTTAGCTCCATTTCGAGGTGTGTGATATCATCTGTAAGATTTTACAGGTCATGGTAATAACCCTCGAAATGAAAATGAATTGTTTAATCTTCGTCATGCATTATTGAGAAATGTAATTGAGAGAATATTTGACATTTTTAAAT